TATATATATATATATATATATATGTTAACCAAAGCTCCACTATGTGTGCGTATTTAAGGCTGTTGTATGTGAGAAATGTGCGTCTATATCATACGGTTCAATGGTTTAATGGTATGATACTCGCGTCGATAACAAGAGGCAGCGGGTTCAATTGCCGCTAGTCGCCTTTTTCATTCAACTGAAAGGAATTTTTCTCTGAAAGGTTATGCTTGATACGAATATAATATCTCACTAGAATAAATTTCCATCCATTTTCACTTCCTAATATTCAAATTTAGCCATCGACAATCACGTCAAATTCCCCATCCGTCATTATTATCATATCTACAGCATACAGCTGGTTTCTTTTTTGTTTATATACGATGCTATGGAAACTGCTGTTAATCACAGTTACTGTAATCCATAATCATGAACGATGGCTTAATAGCACTAAATAAGATTTCGTATTCAAGCCATTTTCTGATTGCGTACCAACTTGGTGTTTAAAAATTGATGAAAAATTTCATAGCATAGTATAACGTGGTCTAAATTCCAGACACAATATAAATTAATAAGCTCTAGTTATTCTGCATAATTATTAAGATGTTGAATCCCATTTCGAATATGACGTGAGGATGATTTTTACTGCTAAACCGACTATGCCCAATAATTATTGTGTATGAACGTATTTAGTGTAGGTATAGTTTATATTCAATATTCTAAAGAGATAATAATGAATAACTAGTGCTTAAAAGTGCCTTCGAAAATTTAATGGGATTTAAGTATCTTGAAAATAAAAAATATTTGAATCTGTCCTTTTCCATAGAAATTGATTTTATATTGAAAGCAGGTGATGAAAAATGTTTAGAAAGTTATATTGATTTAATGATACTTTCTTCAATATAGGAGATTATAATACTATTTAATTTATTCATTATTTTTGAAAACGGGTGTTTAATAATAATTAGCGAACCTAATCACTGTCATAATAATATTCACATTTCGCTTCACACTTAATTTTGATGGGATTTACAAATATCAAAAGTTACAAATAGATAAAAAAACACACATATTTTACACACATAATCTAAAATAACATTTAAATAAAATAGAAGAATAATATTATTTAATTGTTAGCTACACTACTTAGATTATAAACAGCATGGCATGTATGAAAAGGAGCGAATAATATAAAGAAAATTGATTTTCAGGATATTTACAAATGTAGTATTTCATGATAGGCATTTATGTGTACACAATTACAATATAATAATTTCTAATGTTAGCGCTTCCTAGTGGATTTGTTGTTAGTGTGAAGACAATTTTGCGATTGGATAAGGTATCTTATTTAGTCGCATTTTTTTTAATTTGAAGTTGAGGCAATTATGAAGGACCCTTAGGGAGAAGAAAGTTACTGTATGAGCTAGTCCACAGCGCTTTGAGACTCCGGTATAAAGCGATAAATCGAACTACATTACATTACACAGTACTTGTCAAATACAAATTAGCACCAAGTGAGAGTAAGCTGGAACTAACAATGAACAACCATAGGTAGAGCTGATAATTAGACAGAAGGATTACGGTACATAGCGGGCTTGATTTCGTTGTGACGTAGAGGAAAGAGGATCTGATAAAAGAATGTAGATACAGCCTTTGTTATTAAGATCTGCTTGCCTTCTCCAAACACAAAAATCCTGTCAAACCAGGATTAGAAGTTAGCGTAGAGATTATCAATCCTTAATGAGAGTGAAATGAACAAAATAAATACAATTTAGGCTTTCAAGTCAGGCACCGGAGGAAAAAAAATATTTTGATATGTTGTAGAACTGATTTTTCTAAGACAGAAAAAAGTTATTTGACGAAAAACTGGGAATAGTTAATGAGATACAGATTTTTAAATATTAAAAAACAGGGGTAAAAAGGGGCATAACCGCCCATTTTTACACCTTTTCCCCCTGTTTTTAAATTTTCAAAAATCTGTATCTCATTCACTTATTCCCAGTTTTTCGTCAAACAAATGTTTTCTGTCTTAGAAAAATCAATTCTACAACTTATCAACATTGTTTTCTCCTACGGAGTCTGACTTTCACGTCTTGAGGAGGTAAGTTGTTCGAAGTACTTCTCATATCATAATACAGCCACTCCTAATTTACAAAAGAGGGCCATTACTTGAGTAATCGGATTTGATATGTTTTAAAGCCGGAGGAAAAGAATGATATGTTGTGCAATTGATTTTTCGAAGACACAGCATGGGTGCCCAATGAAAAATTCCGGAACGGTTAATGAGATTCAGATTTTTGAATATTAAAAAATTGA